CTCGCCCCCCCTCTCACCCTCTCACCCCCCCTCTCACCCACCCTCTCACCCACCCTCTCACCCTCTCACCCACCCTCTCACCCTCTCACCCACCCTCTCACCCACCCTCTCACCCTCTCACCCACCCTCTCACCCCTCCTCTCTCCTTCAGCCTCTTGTCCTGGAGCGTATGGATAATGTGGGATCATTAAGTGACTCTGCAGCCGCTGGTAAGAAATCAGGTTCAGAAAATATCATCATTTCACGTTAAAACCTAAAGTTCTGTTGACCTTTGTTGACCTCTGTGACCTCCGGCAGCTGTTACTGAGGTTCTGAAAGGAAGAGGTTTGACCTCATACAGCAGGGGCAGATTTGAGGTGGGTGAAATCTATTAATGAAGATTTGACCAAAGTACTAACTAACTGACTAACTATCTGACTAACTAACTAACTAACTGACTGACTAACTGACTGACTAACTAACTGACTGACTAACTATCTGACTAACTAACTAACTAAGCTGAAAACCCTGGTCCTCCCTCAGGTCGTCCCTTCTTCTCTGGATGTTGCTGCTTACTGTGAAAAAAGTACATCAAAAGCCTGCAGTTCACCAGCTCCCTCTAGTGGTTCAGAGAGTTCTCACAGTCTGACCCGGGCCGTGGGCAGCATTGACAGGAGCGGTGCGGCAGTGGACGGGTCAGCTGATGGAGAAAAGGCTGCGGCCAGTTCCAGTAACAACCGCTACTCAGCCCCGCCCAACTTCTACCATGACACGCCCACCTCCAGCCCGGACCTCACCCCACAACACATCCCCCGGGCTCAGACCATCCACAACCCCACCGACAACCGCCCCCAACGCCACCGCCTCTGTTCTGACTCAGCGGATGAGGAGCCAAGCAGTTTGGCTCCCCCTGCAGGCCAAGCCCTTCCCCGACCCCAGGCTCCGACTGAACATGGTGGTAGTGACATCATGAAGAGGGCGGTGGCCTTTCTGCGGCGATCCGGGCGGAGCAAATGTGAGCATAGCTCCGACTCGCCGAACCGACATTCCCTGACGATGAACGGCCATGCTCCGACGCCCCCTGTAGGACAGTCTCATTCTGCCTACATCAGCAGCGACAATGACTCTGAGTTTGAGGACGCCGACATGAGAAAAGAACTGCAGAAGCTGAGAGAGAAGTAACGTGGAGTTGACTTTGTTTATGACAGTGTTGATGTGTTGATGTGTGTTTGTAACATTTGTAACGTTTCCTGTTTGTTTGTTTGTTTGTTTGTTTGTTTGTTTGTTTGTTTGTTTGTTTGTTTGTTTGTTTGTTTGTTTGTTTGTTTGTTTGTTTGTTTGTTTGTTTGTTTGTTTGTTTGTTTGTTTGTTTGTTTGTTTGTTTGTTTGTTTGTTTGTTTGTTTGTTTGTTTGTTTGTTTGTTTGTTTGTTTGTTTGTTTGTTTGTTTGTTTGTTTGTTTGTTTGTTTGTTTGTTTGTTTGTTTGTTTGTTTGTTTGTTTGTTTGTTTGTTTGTTTGTTTGTTTGTTTGTTTGTTTGTTTGTTTGTTTGTTTCCTCCTCCTCCTGCGTCAGACACATGAAGGAGATCTCTGAGCTGCAGGCCTTCCAGAAGAATGAGATTGAACATCTGTACAAGGAGCTGGGCAGAACTCTGCCTGCAAATGTGGGCTTATTACACGCAGCGCCCCCAAGTGGACGCAGGCGCAGAGCCAGCAAACACAAACTGAAGGCTGGGAAGCTGCTCAACCCCATGGTGCAGCAACTAAAAAAGAATCTGAACACCAGCGCTGACACTAAAGGTGGGTGTGGGGGGGGGGGGGGCCCGGGGGGCCCCCCAGACCTCAGGTTGGACCCCTCCCCTCTCTACTCTGAGTTCTGTTCTCTGTTCATCTTTGAAGGTGACCCTGTGGCCACAGCATCCAGTTGTCCAGTTGAACCCCCGCCCCTGACCGATGGTCTGCTCCGCTCCAGTGTCAGCTGCAGTGGTCAGCCCAGTGGTCAGCCCAGTGGTCAGCACAGTGGTCAGCACCACCGGGCCACAGCAGGTCCACACGCAGCAGCCGTGCTCCCTGAAGGGCTCCTTCTCCTCAGACAACATCTACACCAGGGTCAACAGTGAGGGGAGCAGCACTGACCCTGGTCGAGGTACACACACACACACACACACACACACACACACACACACACACACACACACAGAAGATCATCCTTTTCAACATTAAATGTTTTTTTTATTTTTCATTAAGATTTAAATGTAGTTTTTGGGCCCACCCCAGGGGGCAGTAAAGAACCCCTTCTGCCCCAGGACGTGTCAGCAGCGGTCCGTGACCCTGATGTTGGTTTTAGGTTTAATGTTGTTGAGAATGAACTTCTGAGTTTCTACGTCTGCACATTAAATATGTGTGTGTGTGTGTGTGTGTGTGTGTGTGTGTGGTGATATACCAGTGTGACGTTGTAATGCTAACACCTGTAGTCAGTAACTAGCATTAGCATCATTTACATGTTGAATATACTTCTAGATTTCCTCAGTTTTCTCTGCTGATTCTTTTGATGTTTTTTTCTTCATCTCTGCTCGTTCACAAAGTCTCTTTTCTTCTTCTTCTTCTTCTTCTTCTTCTTCTTCTTCCCTTCTTCGCTCCTCTCCACAGGATGGACGGTTTTCCACCAAACGTCAGAGAGAGTCACCTATAAGTCTAGTACCAAACCACGCACTAGATTCCTCAGTGGACCTGTGTCTCTGTCCATCTGTTTGTATTTGTTCTTTTCTACTTCCCCGCTCGTCCCCATCTCTCTCTCTCTCTCTCTCTCTCTCTCTGATTTCCTCTCGTCTTTTCTCATGATTTCATTTTGGTTTTTCACATGAACCCATTGTTTCTTTGCCGTGTTGTCCTCATGTCCAGCTCATTACGTCCCACACTGCTGCTGAAGACAAACTCATTCACCGCTGCAGCTCCAGCCCTAACGTCTGTGTTTGACAGATGAATGAGAAGATCTGGTGAACCGGGGGGGGGGAGGGGGGGGGGGTGATGGTTCTCAATCTATGGGGCACATACCACTGCTGGTAATTTGGCTCCCTCTAGTGGTATGTGAGAAAATGGGATTCACCTTAGGATCACAGTACGTGAATCACTTTGTGTAGTACTGCAGTACTACGTGTTGTTGTTTGCTTAATGATACATTGTTGCCCCAGGGGGTATTATTAGTGAGTTGGGTTAAATGGGTTGTTGACCCCAGGACTGACCGGTGGAGCAGGCTGGACAAGAGCCGGTCCCACCTGTGACGGTCGCTTAAAAAGACTATTTTTATTTCTGTTTCAATTATTATTTTCTTCCAAAGAGCAAAAGATGAGGAGTCATACCATCATTGACCAGTAGGTGTCTGGTCACCCTGCTGCTGTTGGACAGTCACACACAGTGTAATTCATACTTCCTGTCTGCTCTTGTGTTTCATCACCAGTCTTTATCTGAATGAAACAGTTCTGGCTGAATGAACCCTGTTATAAATTAGTTTCTTTTCCTCCAGACCTGTCGTCACAGAGTGAGGTCCAACCTCTGGCTCTGGGTCTTCACTGTGTTCTTTCATAACAGAATAGTGTCTACGGTAGAAGTGCAGCAGCTGATTATGATGCACCACCAGAGGGCGACAGGGCGTAGCCTCTCCGTCCGTCTCCTCAGGGTCACGCCCCCTCACTTTAGAAACACTTTAGATTCTGTCCTGTCGTCCTCAATGATTTCTTTTACCCCCCCCCCAACACTCCCCCCTTTTCTCTCCCAGTTCTTACCTCCCGCTCGTCTCCCTCTGGTGTCCACTGTGTCGTGGCCTAACGCTTCTTGTCTTCTGCTGTTTTAGGGTCCACTCTGAAACGACTGTGTCTAGGCAAAGAGCGCGGTAGTAACTATCTCCTTTACTTCCTTCCTCCCTGTGGTGTCTCCCCACTTTTCTTCTCCACTCCTTCTGCAACCCCCACT